GGGTCTTCTCAAGAAGCAGGCACATACTAATACTCACTCCTATGGAACGCAGAAGTCGGTTCATTCTTATGTCTGCTACCGAGCGAGTGCTATTGCTCAAACTGGTTCGGGTGTCTAGATGTTGCTCATCTTTCTGTGCGGGTTCCATGCACCCATGAACCAAAGCATTTACTCTGACTTGGCCATCCATGATCACCTATGCCCTCAGATCAACCAAGTTGTGTTTAAATTCATCACTCAGCTTCACCTTTTGGTACCAACAACTATTATCTCATGGAGTCTGCGGAAATCTCAAAAAAGTGCCAAAAGCCACGAAGAGTTCGAAGGCAAGTGGATTCATCATACAAGGATAATATAACACATGTTCACTGAGGCCCACAGGTGTATCATCGTCAGAAAGTCTGCGGTAATCGGCGGCCCTAGAAGCTGGGTGTGGGTTACAGGACGCCATTGACTGATTCGAGGAGACGGCTGATGGCGACAGGTACGATCAGCTGTCATCCATATCTCATCATAGCACTCAGCGGGATGCACACGACTACCGATATGACGTTACAGGCGACATTGGATATATGTAGCGTTCGGAACTTATTGAGCCCCCCCGCAAGGAAACTATAGCGGCCTTGAAAAAGGTGGGGTGGGCGAAGATGGCGCTGTACAATCTCAGCTCATCATCAGGGTGATCAAGGAGAACCAACGCATGAAACCAGCTGCATCAAGTCAGTGAGGGGCTGTGGTGGATCAAGAAAATAGACAAGGGGTATGAAAACCGCGTCAGGACCATAGCCAATATCCATACCTCAGTCACCCTCCGTCGCATCACAACCAGACATTATTACCCTCTCCGACAGCATCCGCCTCTGCAAGAACTAAGCCATTACCGCGCCCTCCGCCACACGTATGACCCCTTAGTCTACCCGGACGCCGAAAAGTTCGACGGCTACCGGTTCATGCGCGTGCGCGAGACATTGGGCGAGGAGCACGGCAGCCAGCTAGTTACGACGACGCCGGCGCACATGGGGTTCGGGCATGGGCAACGCGCGCGCCCATGATTTTTTCACCGCGAACGAGGTCAACATTATGCAGTGCACCATGCTGCTCAAGTACGACATGAAGCTAGAAGAGGGGTGCGAGTCCAAGGTTATGGTATGGGGGCATTGGGTTCTCGCCGATAGCAGACCTAACAGCTAAGGTTTTTTGTTTGGAGGCGAGTAGAAAACTTACCGTTATGAAATATGCCAAGTAATAGAAATATGTAGATATGTCAGCGAGGCATTGATTGCAACTCTTGAGCGTGCGTATGCAAACACTGGAGGGACGTTGACGTCCAACTCGGGATGTCAACCGACATGACGTCGGGACAAAATGCAAAACAGCAAAAAGAGATTATCCCGAGTGGATTTTAACCACTGTGTCTCCCCGAGGTGGGCTCGAACCACCAACCTCCAGATTAACAGTCTGACGCGCTAGCCAATTGTGCCATCGGGGATGAGCTCGAAACGAGCTGCTTGGGATCCTGTTGGAGATGCAGTCGAAATTTGCTTCTATGTATTGTTACTGTAAAGCATAAGCTGTGCGCTGTTTCAAACCCTAGAGTGCGGGTCTTTGTGTCAATGTTTCCTTGGTGAGATGCATTCGTGATTGGTGGCACGAGTTACTGACCCATGCTGGAAGATGTTGGTGTGGCTCGGACGGGAATTGGAGTTGATGGTCGAGGCGGCCTAGTCTTGGCCAGACCGAATGCCGCCATGCTCAAAGAGCCACGCAAAGTCCTGGACTTATACAAGCAGGGCTCAAATGCGTCCGCTCACTTCTACTTTGAACTGGCATTCAACAAGGTAGAAGTCCTGCCCTGAGCTGCGAGTTTAGAGGGATCACATTTCCAATGGGCATGCAAAAGTGTAACTCTAACAGGTTGCTCAACAAGCTTCTTTCGCTCCAGTGTTGATGCTCTGTGAGGCAGGGTAATTCGGCAGTCACTGTTGGTTCTGAAGGAAAACTCAAAGTGGTTTTCACCGCAGCTGACGCGAGACATTGAAATAGTCTGCACTATGACTTGGGTTCAGAGTTTTGACGAGCACCAGCTGAGACATAAGGTCGTAGAACAACGGGTATTTTGATCAACATTGGCATTGTCCACCCTCTCATGCCGCGGATTGACACGATATGATCGCGCTCTTCACATTCCGAGCTGCCTTGGGAAGCACTCGCACTCTCGGTGCCAACCGTGGCGGCGGATCCAAGCCCATTGCCACCTGTCACTGCGAACCCTAGCCATGATGGAGTCACTCGGAGCCCACCACCATTCTCAGACAGACCCTAACTCACGATGCTGCCTTTCCGTCTGATAGGGCTTAGGGCACCAGCCTGACAACAACAACAAGCAAGGGAACAGCTTGGTCGGTTAGCTCAGTTGGTTAGAGCGTGGTACTAATATATCACCAGATATGTTGAGTAATGCCAAGGCCGTGAGTTCAAGCCTCACACTGATCACATTCTTTTGCTTGTGGCGATTGTGTTCTTTTTGTTTCGTTCGGTGTTGAGCTGGACGTGCTGCGGTCCAGTCTCGGTAGCTGCAGGTGTTGTTGGCGATTTTGGGTATGCTCGGGGTTGCGTGCTCTGAGACCCAGACTAGTCGGCTGCGGAAGTAAGTTCGGAAGGTGATTTGTATGCTCTCGGCATCGAGATTTGCACTTTGTTTTGCACTGAATGCATAACTACTACACCGGGACATGTGTCTTTCAAGAGGCACCGTTGACTGAACCAGAGCCGAAGAGCAACGTCCTCTTGCAGAGAACCTTAGTCTGGGATGTTGGGGGGTCATTTGGCTCCTCGCTAGACGGCGTGAGTATGAGTGAACGTTCACATCCTCAAACGGTGCAATTCCTCGGTACTATCCGAAGAGGTAGCCAGTCGTAATGGCAATCAATCAAGGATGCATTCAGTCCTGTCACGCATCTTGCCCACAAGCCAGGTTGGGAGAGCTTGAAAGGTCGAGGGCATGAGAGCAACAGGACCGAGGTGCTGACGAGGCTCGTGACCGGCATGGACCATCGGAGGGCTGTGGAAGAGGACATGGAGACATGAACTGTATGGAGGACATGGGACATGAAGTTGTTGAAATGTCATTGTTGAACCGTCTTCCTGTCTTACACCTACCCCATGCCTCATGGATGCGAGTTCCCAGCCATAACGACACAAGAGAGAGAAGAGAAAAGAAACACGGCACACGCATAACTCGAGCCCAAAACGCCGTGTCATGAAGTTTCAATGTTTCATTTGCCTGCCTGACCCTTTTACAAACCAAGCCAAGCAGCGATACCGCGAGGCATGCCATGCAATTGCATCGACGGAGGGGCGGCGGCGGAGAAACAGCGCGATGCTAAAATCCCACGCACGACCTGACCTCCACATGTCGAGCTCTGGCCGAGATCTCGGTCCGTTTCCCTAAAGACACGAGACGAACGAACCAGATCTTTTGATCCACGTTTGACTCCCCCGTAAAACAGTAACTGCCAAATATTTTTCGCGGGAAACACCAAATGCTGGACCCGGAAACCCACAGCGCTTCCCCCAAAGGTTTTGTGCTGCATATCCCTTTTTCCCCACCACCGCTCGGGCAAGAAAAAGAAACCATCCGACGCGTACCGTTTAACGGTAGGACTTCTGGAATCTGGAGCGGGCACCCTTACCACCGAACTTCTTGGGCTCGCACCGGCGGTTGTCGGCGACGAGGAGGGTACGGTCGAACTGGACGAGAGCCTGCTTGAGCATGTTCTTGGAGTGCTCGTCGACGAACTTCTGGTAGTAGGCGACAACCGACTTGGCGATGGCCTGACGGATGGCGTAGATCTGGGAAGTGTGACCACCACCGGTGACGCGGACGCGGATGTCGATGTTGGCGAACTTGTCAAGGCCGAGGACGAGGAGGGGCTCGTAAACCTGTGTAGCGCAGCGTTAGTCTCTGTCGGGTTCTTCTTGTAAACGTCTTTTTTTCTCGTGGAGCCCTGATCGCTAGGGGATTCTTCAAATCAATTCGTAGGTAGGTGGCGAAGAGCAACAGCGCTGCGAATGTTGTTCTCGTCCGTAGGTAGAGTCAAACGTCGCAGCGCTTGCTCTTTATGCCCCCCAGGCCCCCCAATCCATCTAGTTCCTCCTCTTGCCGACCGGGTTTCCTCAATGGATTCGCGCGGGATAAAATCGTACCTTGAAGCGGAGGATCTCAGGCTGGACAAGCGAGAGAGGCTTGCCGTTGACCTTGACGAGGCCCTTGCCAGCCTAATGCGCGAAAAAAGAGTCAGCCTGCCAAATTCTGATATCCATATGTTTATCGTTCCCCTCTTCCGTCATTCTCTTCCGGTGTTCGTCTTCTTTCTCTCGAGGGGATATCGGATTTTGATCGTACCTTGCACTGGGCAACGGCGGTGGCGGTTCTCTTCTTGCCGAAGCACTGCACGCTCTGGGTGGACGACATGGTTGCTGCGGGATGGAGGGGGGACTGTGAGGAAATTCGCAGCGCGATCGTGAGGCAGGGCGTCTGTAATTGCTTTGGTCAGGCTCGAACACCGAAATTTTGCGAGTTGGATTTGAGAGAGGGTTGTGCCCTTTTTGCCGGGGGGCTATGCCCGTTTAGTGGCTAAGGTGGCCGGAGATTCTCCGGGTGGGGGTGTGGCCTAGATGCACGTGACGCTAGTGCTTTGCTGGTCTGGGCCTTGCTTCGGTGTTCATTTGGACGGACCTCAGAACCGCTGGACCGAAAAGAAGAGCGGGCCCGAAGAAGCTTATGTCATCCTTCGAGATTGACGGAGCGTCCGAGGGGACCCGACCACAAATGACATCGGCGCCAAACGACCCCGATATGGCATCCACCAAGACGCCCGGCGCCCCTCTATCCGCAACCTCCACCTGCCTCCGCATGTGAAGCACTACGATCGAAGCTCCCCCATTTCCCCTCCTCTACCCAAACCCGCACCCTGACCACGATCACAGCACACGCGACCATGTCCCGCAAAGGCGTCGGCCTCGCGGCCTTTGACCGTTCCCGCCTTACCTCGGCGCAATACGCCTCCCATGGCTCCAACTTGCGCAGCACCAATGCGCAAGCCCTTGAGACCCAACTCTCCGTCTTCCGCTCCCTCCTGCAGCAGTTTGCGCAGACCCACGCAAAGGACATCCGCTCGAACCCGTCCTTCCGCGCCCAGTTCGCCCGTATGTGCTCCGCCATCGGTGTCGACCCGCTCGCGTCCTCATCCTCGTCCTCGGGTGGCGGCGGCTCGTCCTCGATCTGGGCGCAGCTACTGGGCCGGTCGGTTAACGACTTTTACTTTGAGCTGGCGGTACGCGTGGTGGAAGTGTGCGGTGCAACGCGCGACGAGAATGGGGGGCTGATTGGTGTCCGCGAGGTGAGGGAGCGAATCATGAAGGGGCGCATGGAGGGTGCAAGTGAGGTGACGGAGGACGATGTGCTGAGGGCTGTTGGTACACTGAAGCCGCTGGGCAGCTCGCACAGTGTCATCAAGGTCGGCAGCAAGTCATATATCCGGAGCGTCCCCAAGGAACTCAATACCGATCAGAGTGCCGTGCTGGAGGCTGTACAGGTGTTGGGATACGTGAGCATTTCAATGCTGATGGTCAATCTTCGATGGCCGAGAGCGCGGGCCCAGACTGCACTAGAGGACCTTCTCGGCGAGGGTATGTTGTGGGTTGATAAGCAGTGTCCGGAATGGGAGTATTGGAGCCCCGGATTCATGGTGGACACTGGTGAGTCGGCCGGAGAATGAAGCAGGGAGCAAACCCAAGACGCAAACTCAACACAAGTGCTCGACCTGCCGCTGCATCAGTCGACGCCGACCACGTCGATTTGGCTCAAAATCAGGAGCCAACGACGAAGGGTCAAGACCTGCCCACTGAGCCGAGTCATGAAACACAAATCCTGCAGAGGAGCAGGCTATCGGTGTAGTAGCGGGGATCCGTCTGTACGGTACTCCATGGATAGGCTCAGACAACCACGCAGTGTCAGACGCTGACATAGCGTGGGTGGAAATCTCATGAAAGAGAACCATGATAGCACTACACTGTAGATATCGGGCAGCAGGAGTCACTTCAATCCACGAGCGTGTAGATAATACCAAGCATGTCGAACCATAATCCAAGCGCATTTGAACCTATTTACCGACACAGGACATATAACATGATAGCAACGTTTGAAGCAAGCGAAATTTACAAGGACGCTCGGCGGTCGATTGCAATCCCTCCAAGCCCGCTTGCTCCCAGCTCGCGTATCTTCACACTGCCCCCCACGCCCCTCAACTCCAGAAACCCGCCCCAAAGGGCTGGGTTCGTTTTCGTATTAGATGTTACCAGATTTCTCATCAAGTGGGCGTTATATCGACATCATCTCAACCATCTCACCATAGCAGAGTCGTTTAGTAAGGGGGGTTGGGACCTCCCATCGGGCCAGGGTAGTCCTTGGGGCCCGGGTAGTCCTCAGGGCGGCCTCCCATGGAGGGAGAACGGCCGTCACCAAAGTGCTTCTTACGCAGAGCTGCGAGACGCTTCTTCTTGGTGATGGTGTTGATGTAGGTGCCGATAATGAAGGCAACCAGGTTGAAGAAGGGGACCCAGAGTTGGTCAGGGAGGAACTTCTGGGCAAAGGCCAGGCAGAGCGGGGAGGTGATCCAGCTGACCTTCATGACCTTCCAGAATCCAACCTTGACCGTTGCGCGGACCTGATGGTACGTCTTGGCACCGGCAATGAGGGCCATTGCCGTGAGGTAGACGGAGTTCTGGATGGGCGCAATCTGTTGGACGCGGGTTAGTACGTGCTCAGCAGCTCTGATTAGAGGTCAGGCCACTTACAATCAAGTTGCTGACGATAATCTGCAAGATCTTGGCGCGCAAGCTGGTACGTCCGGCAAAGGTCTTCTGAAGGGCCCAAATGAGGAAGTGACCGAGAGGAGCGCTGACGAGGGCGCCGTAAGCGGCCATCTTGGGCACGCGCGAGGTGAAATAGTTGCCATGCTTGTTACGATCCTTGGCGAGGAAGGATGCGATCAGCTCTTGGGCACCAGCGAGGGTACCAGCAGTGAGCATCTTGGTGCGGAGAGGGTTCTCCTCAAGCTGCTTAATGTAGGCCTGGAATGAATAGCGCGTCAGCATCTCTCCCTGAACCTGTCCCATGAACCTTCGTCGTGCTCATTTCGCGCGCATGTCACAGTCGCCCAGCATCGGGGGATTGGCAGACGAACCGCAAGATAGCCCTTGGATCCGGCATTCTTCTTGCCGCCGGTGATGGCGGTACCAATGGCCTCGGAGATGGGATGTTTGCCGCTGGTGCCGGGGAGAGGCTCTCCGATGAGGCCCTTCTTGACCTCCTCCACGCCCTTCTTTATCGTGTCCTTCTCGAACTTGACCGACATGGTGGGCTAAGGCTCCGGGGGTATCGCTAACGTAATCGAGAAATCGCGGGGGAAACTGCGGTGAAAGAGAGGAGTATCAGCAAAGGAGGCCCGTCTTTGAGGGTGTTTGCGATGGGTTTTCGGGGGGGGCGTTCGTCAATTGAATTGCGGCTCCAGAGTGCAAGCCCAGGGGCAGCCAATGATTTGTTTACCGCGTCGCTCTGCCGACCGACAAGGGACGATCGGTTAATTGTGCGGCTGGAGCTTCGGTCGCTGGAGAGCTCAATTGCAATGACGAGCCGACCCGGAGACCATACGGAAATTCGGGGCAACGTACTGGGTATTCTTCGAGATCACAGGAAGTGAGCGTCTGGCCGTCGACAGAGAGGAGGTTGGGCGGCAGCAGCACAATGGGGAGAGGGAGCGACGGAAGGGTTGTTGATGTGGTGGTGGTGGTGGTGGTGGTTGAGGAGGTTGACACAATTGGGCCCTGGGGGTGTACGGGGGCCTGGCACGGCGGATTTGTGTACATAGGTACGGATACGCAACACGGGAGACACCACCTTGAACGGGCTGGGCTCGGCTGGGCTGGCTGGGGGGAAATTGACTGAATTGATGGGGGTGGTGCCAACTCTAGCAGTCTAGGACCTGGAGCTCTCTGTTGTGAGATGCTCATTCGTCTGTCAACGCAAGAAATGACCAGGATGTTGCATGACGGGCAAGAGCTGGTCGAAGCTGCAGGGGTGTGCCAAGGGAGAGCCCTGATTGGGCCATTCTCTACCAATGGCCCGAGGTTTGTTTTCACTTGCTGAGGGGCGGTCCAAAATTCGTTAGCGGCATCGGCAACAAAACATGCGCTCGCCAGCTCATTCTGACTGCATTCTGACCCTGACAGAGATCAAGGGACGGGAGTTTTGCAGTTTTGCTCCTGTGCCCACCAAGAAGTGCTGGGTTGTCCCATTCATCTAGTCCCTCCAAAAAACGTTAGTTTAATGATCGAACTTCATGCTCTACCTTCCCGAATCGTCCGAGTGTCGTCCGAACCACGCCCCTCGCATGCATATCGATGTCACTCGCTGCAGCTCAAAATCAACGGTGATGAGGGTCGTTCTGTACCATCTGGAAGGAGCTTGATTGAGTACGCTCGGAATGGCCCGACACTTCAAGCGGAAATTCACCACCAGACACAGGTTGTAGCTTACACAATCTCACTATTACAAAGGAACGAAGAATGATGGAACGAAGCATGCCCCATTTTCGGTGTCAGTTGACCGTGATACCTGGGCAGAACGGTTCTCATCGTTACTAATCAGACCAAGCCGGAAAAACTACCCCTCTCTTTCACGTAGCTTTGTATACCGTACTGTGGTCCAGAACAATGACTCTCGATATTATAGATTTTCCAAAAGGTTATCTTGTTTGTAATTTGGTCGTGGCCAAGCCATTGCGACAGGTTGAAGGTGCATCACCGTTGAACGATGATGTTTCGCCGTCATATTTCATATTGTCCCGATGCACCGTTCTCCATGTTCACGTGGTCTTTCAAGCAATACATTTCATGGGATTCCAAATCATGAAGACAACATAGAGATATTCGAGTATCAATAAGCCTTTATTCATATCGACTGAGGCCCATGTCATGGAAAACAGGTACACACGGAGAGACAAGGCCCGAAAATAACCAAATAAAGGAGACAAACACAAGCCCATGATTTCAACGTTTCAGCATGACATGACAAGAATGATGTAAAATGGTTTCTCATTAAATTGCCTTGAGGCGAGTTCAGGTGAATTATCAGTGAAGTGAGGCGCTCCTTCCTGCATAGCTAATTATCGCCACGCCTTCCTCCTCGGTCCAGAGACCCTCAACTAACTATTCCAAGGGTCATCGCTATTCGAGCCAGGCGATTACTTCTTTCTCAGTAAACAACTATCCTAGAAACATCGTTTGCGCAACCGCTCTTGTCTTCAGTCGGCCAGCCCCTTGACGTCGCGTCTTGGGTGCTCGGTATCAGTATGGCCGCCCAACCCGCCCCTCACCTGACGCGCACCTTTGCAGCCTGCACGCACGTCACGATGGTCCGTGTCTACAGTTATATTCTTCGATGTGACTCGTGCGGCAACTACGGTCCCTTTGGCTGGCTGTATCGTTGCTCCCAAGATCAGGAGGAGATCCTGCGCGATTCTATACTTAGCGGAGACGAGGTGAGAGGAACACCATCCATGACCAAAGGCAGGGCTAATAGAGAAAGGTCACCTTTGATGATTTGGGAAAGCAGCTCGTCACAGTCGTCCAGCCGAGGGACCGCGGTCCTGAGAAACGGTCTGGAAACGCCGCCTGCTTTCTCGAGGAGATGCCCGCAAGGGACATCACCACCACCTACACTAGCGACCAGCTTCTCACCATCTTCAACCAACGCAAACACGTATGTGGTGTTTACATCAGAGGAACTTCCACATCAACTAACGTCTAGTCTCTAGCTTGGAGACATTCTCCGTCGAGAGTCGTTCCGGAAGAAATCGAACCCTACTGAAGAACACGACGGTGCTCGTCAGTGGAGTGCCTATGACCTGGATGATATACTGGGCCGCAACGTATCGACACCCTGGGTTCCTAATGCCAAAGACGAGTGTCAATACAAGATTTGCCCCTATTGCCGTCCTGGTGGAGCGGATCGAGCATACATTAGTCTAGATGGTGTCGCAGAGGGTAGCATTCCTGCTACGGCAGCCACCGGATATGGATTCCATCTATTTCGTCAGAGACCCGTCTGCAGCTCCAGTCTGATTGCAAATTTAGGCCTACGATCAGCTTCGGCGGTAAGTGTGTATATCATTAGCGTACGGATCATGTTTGACATTCTCACAGTCAACGGAGACCTCTGCGTCTGCTTCCTTCGGTACATCGTCGGGCGCGAGCAATAACGTTGTTGTCGACGAACGTCTGGCGAGCCAGCTGGCTTCACAGCTTAATCTTCTCGGGATGGCCCATGACACAAGGCCTATGTCACCCTACCCTCTCCTTCACGCCCAGTTGCCCCGATCACCAGGCTCCCCAAACCTCGCCGCCCAGGCCGCATTCCATCAGGAGACGGGCGAGGGCGAGTCGTCCTGGCAGGATACTACAGCCTCAACTGTGAGCCTGCCGGCTGCCGTAAATGTCCAGCTTGGTGAAGATTCCACAGAAATGGAGGAGCACGAAAACGAAGAGGGCAAATTTCTCGCACAGCCTCTAGAGGTTGCGCGCGGAGTGGCTGTCTTGGAGGAAAGCGTTGAGAGGCATGCGCCGGATCTTGTTACCCAGGTTTGAGAACCGAGATGAGAGAGGTTATTGTGTTCCCCTGAGTTTGGTTGCCGAGGCGTTGGATTTTACGAGATGCCCCTGTTGCTCGTGATGAGTGGTATTATTCCACGCACATCATACCCTGTAGCAAGATAGACACGCCCATTGTAAGCCTCATTGACCATACACATCTCGCAGTTAGCCAGTCTGCGGTACCGAATGTCATCGCACGTCTTCGCATTTTCGAGATACCCGTGTTGCAGACTAGCTGGACAATGTCAAGAACGAGGTTTGTTTTATGACACAGTTGTTTCAAAGAAAGAAGATCGAAAGAAAGAGAAAGAAAAAGGAAGGAGTACTGAGCAGACAACAGGGGGGAAAGCCTGACTGGATAGCCCGGAAATGTGGCACAGCATCATGGATAGCACGTCTTCGTCGACAGCCTCTATCGAAAGAGCTAGCTCGCATTCTGTATCATTCCATCAAAGAAAACTCTTGTATATTCGTAAATAGCACTATTCCGTGTATCCCCTCATCAAAGACGTAACTTCAACCATGTAAGCCGTGATACCGTACTTCATCCAAAACGCCCTCAGTCCTTGGTGCTCTCTAACACAGCCTTCATCATAGCATTGCCCACAGCGACGGCATCCTTGAACCGCGGCTGGAAGAACTCCTGCGTCGTGACGAACCGGTTTTTCCACGTCTCAAAGTGCCCCAGCGAGACGCACTCGGCCCACCCCCGCGCCGCGAACGTGAACTCGAGGTCGTCGGAGCGGTACGTGTGGTCCTCGATGGCCGTCCGCAGCGCGTCGTCGAGCAGCTCGCGGCTGCGGAACAGGTGCTCCGCGACGCCGAGCCACAGCCGGAACAGCGGCGTCGAGCAGATCATGTGGTCGTAGGGGACGATCCCCAGCTGCGCCCAGCAGTCCACCATGGCCAGCAGGCTGAGGTGGTTGTTGGCGCGCGGCGGGCCCGTCTGATCCTCCTTCTTGCCGAGGGAGAAGCGCTCGAGCAGGTCCGGGTTGAGAAGCGGGCGGTCCGCCCACTTGGGGCTGCCTTCGTGGCCAAAGACCTTTTCCTTGGCGGCGAGCACGCGGGCGCGGAGGGCGTCGGCGTTGCCCTCGAGCATAAGCTTGTAAAGGTCCGTGACGGAGCGGGCGAACTGGGAGATTTGCTTGCGGGCTTCGGGGTTGAGGATGGCGAGGCCGGCGTAGACGTGCCACTTCTGGGAGTAGATGCGCAGCATGATGTTGATCTTGACGTTCTCGACGCCGCCGACGTAGCGCGACATCTCCCAGGGGAACTGCGTGTTGGCGTGCCACGCCTTGCCCATGGAGAGGAACGCGGCGTGCGTTACGGCCTGGGTGTCGGCGGTGATGCGGTCATGCTCGAGGGCCGTGAGGTAGACGTGCTTGGAGCCGAGGACAGAGAGTACCGTCTCGACCTTTGTGACGGATGCGGGGGAGGCGCGGTGGGAGATTATGACGAGGGGCTGGTTCCGCGGGTCGACGTTGGGCCCGTGAAGGGAGTGACACGACACGATCTCGACGTCGGTTGGGAGGTGGCGCTCGAAGGCAGTGATTTCGGGGGCTTTGCAGGAGGTCTGGCCTCCGACAATGGCGCCAAGCTTGGTTGCTGGTTGAAGGGCTGTGTTAGATGGCCTCGTGTGGGAATGGGCATGGAGGAACTCATACATGGGCCATATTGGGCAATCACGCGGTCAATAGCGGCGGCTTCAACGCTGTAGATGATGTAGTCGCTGGCGCGGGAGACGTAGTGGCCATTGCGGCAGATTTGTATTTTGTTCTATTCAGGAAAAAACTGCTCAGCCGGGTTTGAACACCGAGGGAGGCAGGGCAGGCTTTTGTGTGGCATTTGTCCCGTACATTTCCAGAGAACTCTTCTTTCAGGCTCTCGTACTTTTCCTCCTGGTCACACGCCATGATGCTGCCAGAAGCCCAAGGCGTCAGTCTATTTCCATCACGTTCATCCCTCTACTGTGCAATGACTGGTATAGCAATAGGCATGGAGCTGTTACGGATTCCTGCGAAGCATGTTAGCATCGCTGCTTTCAATACGAGAATCGTAAGGAAGAATATGTGATTGTGAAGGTTCAGACAGGTAAAGTTTAAGGTAGCTAGGTGTATCATCATGGAAAGCCTTCGGCCTTTCCTGGGGCCAAGACGGCTTGCCAGGAAGTCCTCGGGCGATACTCTAGCCAAATGCGCTCTTGTCATCATGACCAAGGAGGGAGGGTGTATTTTGTGTGCAGTAAAAGACGTGGAGAGGATGTAGCTTACCATGAGAATCGCAAAGCGCAGAGGCCCAGGCTGGGGATAGTGCACATTTACTCACGTCCATCCAGCGGCAGAGAGCCTCTGCGCATACATCTTCCCCATATCGCCCATGCCGATCAGGCCAACCACGAAATTCTCCATTCCCGCGGGAATGGCGCCGGCGGCCTGAGGCCGGGTAGGGGCAGAAGATGCCATCGTGCTGATGTGTGTTCCTGTTGGGTTAGAAGAGTGATTCGTGCGTTTTTTCAAGACTGTAAAAGGTCTGCGCTAAGCAAATCTCTCACATCCTGAGCCAAAGGAAAACTCTGCAGTGCCGGTCCACCAACGTCGAGAGCTTTTCGAGGGCGGAAGCTCCGAGAGTACTGAGTGTGTGTGATGCAAGACGAGAAAAAAAAAGTTGGTCGCGGTTGGAGTTCCGCTTTTTGATCTTGCGGGCGCGGTCGGCGGAAGCGCGGGAATGATTGGCCGAAAGGCCCCTCCATTGAGCTGGATAGATGCATGCGAGAAACTGGTGGGGGACGAGTACGCTTAGTGCACTATTCGACGGGCATCCACCGACTAACTGCTTGCCCACCTCATCGATGCTGAATGATTCCAGGTGTCGAGACTACCTCAAATAAAATTACCAAAATGTCGGTTCTCTTCGCAATCGGCTCCAACGGTTCCGGTCAGCTCGGCATCGGCCACAAGGAAGATGTCTCCGTCCCCAAGCAGGTCATCTTCTTCCCAGACCATCCCGACTCTCCTGTGGCCAAGATAGCGGCGGGCGGAAATCATACGCTGCTTCTCACACAAACCGGGGAGCTTTATTGGAGCGGAGACGCCACGAGCGGAGCTTGTGGTCTAACGTCCACTGCAGAGACCAATGAGCCAGTCTTCCAGCGAGTCCAGCTGAGCAAGGAAGGGCAGGAGAGCGCCTCGGGCACGACAGACTTGATCGCTGCGACTTGGGAGGCTTCGTTCGTCGTTCAAAAGGATGGCGAGGGGAAAATGACGAAGATGTACAGCTTCGGTGCTGGACAGAAGGGTGAGCTGGGTCTTGGCGAACTGCTTGTCCGTTCCCCGTCTGCCACCCTCTTCAAGGAGTTCCCGCCAGCTGGAACTGAGGTTGTAGACGTGGCGGCTTGTATGGGTCACGTCGTAGCGGTTCTTAGCAACGGCGACGCTTATGCATGGGGCAATATTCGCAAGGGTCAGGGTGGAAGCCCCGAGGCTGTCGTTCACTCGCCACGAAAGATTGAAGGCGTCGACTTCAAGGTTGCCAGAGCTGTTTGTGGAAAGGACTTTACGTGTTTGTTCGGAGCCCCAGAGACAGGCAAGCTACAGGTTATGGGATCCGATAAGTGGAATATTCAATCCTCCGCCCCAGAGTCTGTGCCCGAATGGACGGATGTTGGCGCCAGCTGGGGCAACGTCTACGTCTTGACGAAGGAGGGTCAGCTTCTTGCATGGGGAAGAAACGACCATGGACAGCTGCCGCCCCCGAACCTACCCAAGCTATCCAAAATCGCTATTGGCAGCGAGCACGTCATCGCGTTCACAGAAAAGGGCGACGTGTTCGCCTGGGGGTGGGGTGAGCACGGCAATTGCGGTCCACAGGTCGAAAACAACGACGTCAAGGGACGGTGGAATGTCATTGCATCATCAAGGTTCATCCCGCCTGGTTCACAGATTGCGGCTATTGGCGCAGGTTGTGCGACTAGCTGGGTGACCATCATCACCGGTTGAGCAAAAGGACCATACATATCCCCTGTCCATCATGAAAGTCTCGATATTCGAGTCAGCAAGGTATCAAGCAACAACCCCTTCGAACAGTGTCTAGCTCACGGGCCCTGGTAGAATAAGCCAAGGCGTCTGACATCAGAGAGGCGCTGTGTGGGCTCCAAGCCTGCGCTACTAGCGGGAGTTGGGTCGAACTCGCCATTCTCTTCGGCGACAGCGCGGCCCAAGTGCATGGCAGATGCGTTCTGGGGAGAGGGGAGTCAGCACAAGGATAAAACAGCGTTGCAGGAAACGACTTACGGGCTGATTACTATGATCCCACTCCAGTCTAGCATTCTCCTCCGCATCCTCGTCCTCTTCGTCCCTAACAGGCTCCCATTCCTGGTCGTTATCCACGAACAAGCCCTCGGAACGCATGGTTGCAGGAGGAGGTCGCTGAGACGGCCGCAAATCAAACAACGATGTGCGCGCTGCAACGGCACTCTTGGCTGCAGATGCCGCCGGTGGAGGGGGCATACTCTGTTCAGGCGGCTGCTCGACAGGCTGGGGGATCTCGGACGGCGCGGCGCTCTGTCTTCTAGACGCGGCTTCGAGCTGCTGTCGCGGGGCGGCGTTAGCGGCGTTGGCCTTGCCCTTTTTCGTCTTCTGAGTTGGGTTCCCTCTCTCGCCAACCGTCATCAGCAGGAACTCGCAGCTGATGCCGTCGCCGGGGTATGTGAACTGGATCGGGCGGGCCGGGCTGGAATAGCGGGCGGAGAGGTGGTTGCCGGTGATGCCGGCGTGCTGGATGATGGCACGGAAATCCTTGACACTGATGACGATACGAAGCTTGTCTTCTACTTCTATGTCTTCAAATTCGTCCACTTCGATGGCAATTGACGTGTGTAGCGGCTTCTTGAGGACCTCTGGGAACATCGTTAGCATCGATTCCAGATCAATGAGCCTGCAAACCAACCGTCTCCATTTGTCGTCTTCTCCGTGAAGCATGTAAAGTTGACATGTTCACCGTCCGAATTGATATCCAGCAGCTCAACGCCAGGACCGAAGTGTTCCATCAGCTGCCTCAGCGTCCGCGAAGGGATGGTCCAATGGTGGACCGCCTCGTCACGGTCGAACTTTGCATGGACTGGCACCGCAACCTCGAAGGGCAGGCGATGCGTAGATGTGACACCTAAAGTGCATTAATACAAGCTTCTCTGAAGAACCTGGTGCAGAAAGTACATACCATTCCGAAAGACAAGCTTCACGATCAACCGACTCTTGACGCCCGGGCCGTCCTGGATAGCCACGTCACAGCGGTCAATTGTGCTCTCCTTCTCGCGGTCACGTTGCGGATCGCCGCCGACGCGGCTGCGGAAGATGGAGGCGAGGGACTGTACGGTTGGTCAATTCAGTAGGAGCCCCTCAAGGATCATTCCGTCATTACTGACGATCCACTTACACGTATGTGAAGTGTGCAATAGAACTTATCCCGGTACTGCGCGCTCCCTTCGAATTGGTAGCGGGAGCAGAACCGGTTGGTGGCAAAGGTGAAACAGGAGTAGGCCGATTTGGACTGGTTGAGCGCCGTAAGAATCAACTACGGCCTGCCTGTTAGCCAGAGATCCCCGTAGCTCAGTTGATGGTTGACAACGAGTGGCCGCACCTTGTCTTTCTTGGCCTCGAGGGAAACGTCGTCGCTGAACTTGTTCATGCAGGTCAAGACATCGCGGAAAGCAGCAACGGCATCCTCACTGAGGGTGAAGTTAAGGATGGCCATCGTTGCATGGCAGGGTTATAAGTTCGGGGGTTATGATGTCATTGAAGCGGAATCCATGGGTGTGAAGTTAGGTGTTGGGTAGATTATCGAGATGTCGTCTGCATGGGTGAGAAGGAGGCGTCGTGCATTTGAGGCGCGCCAGGTCGCGTAAAGTGCTGCGGGGCATCTTACCTTAGGCACTCGGGCCCACTGAGCGACGAGCACAGCGCACCTTTGAAGCACTAGCTTGTCCGCTAAAGCCGTCATCCAAACACCACCACGCCTGTACCATCACCATTGCGGGGATCCACGCTCGACGTCGACAGGGCATTATCAATTGAGACTTGCTACTCAAAACCCTCTCAGACTCTCCTGGGTCTGACACATCAAACACTCGAGGCAATGCGCGTGCCCATTCTCTCCATTAAACCCAGAAACGGCGGATAAGGCCCTGAACCCCTCAGCAGCTGCAGTGCCTCCGCAGGCCCCCTTATGTCGTCCCAGAGGTGAACAAACATGCGCTCCTCGTCAAATTCGTAGTCGTTCCCCGCCAGATCTCGCCGCGATGGTTCTGATCTCTCGAGTACACGATGAAGAATCTCAGCATGTTCATGATGCGCTCCGTCGCCGGGTCGGTGATGTAATTCGAGGCTCTCCAGCCCCTGAACCAAGACCGGCTATCCTGGGCCGGCAAACTCAGCGAAAAGCCGCCAGGGCGCAAGTGGCACTGGGTGTGGTCGATCCATAAAAGCATCTGTCGTGATGAGAATGTGGTTCGCCCTAGCACTGTAAGACTAGTGAGGTGTCTGAAGAGTTCAAGGGCCCGCAGCGTCCAGGTGGAGTTCTCCTCTTGACAACAAACGAAAGAGACAGTCTGGAGTTTTGGCACATGTCTCGAAAGGTTCTCGAGCTCTCTGTATCCCAGGGGAAAGTATGTATGCAGTCTCAAGTCCCGAAGACCCAGCATGGCCATCACAGCAGCCATAACAAGCCCGCCACGCTCCCTCCACCCCAAGGAAGGGCTAACGGTTAACATGTCTGGACACTCAGCCAAGAATAAGTACGTGAGCTTCTGTGTCCTCAACGCCCTGTAGAAGTCTCTGTATAAACCTGTCGAGAAAATGTGCAGCCTGTCGAGACGCAAGTGTGGCAGCGCATCTGCTATTGCGGGAATGAGTTCCGGAAAGCGAAAAAGGTGGAGGTTCCTGAGATTGTCGCAAGATGTGAGCCAGTTTGAAAAGGGGCCGCGGTGGCTTATGGCCCAATCCTTGAAAGTTGTTTGTGCGGGACTCGGGCCGGTGAAGTTGAAGCTGAGGGTCAGTCCTGTCAGATTTGTGAGCTCGAACAACCTGTGCATCTCAACGGGTGGGTGGATGAGGAATTGCAAACTTAACTTCTGGAGAGAGGTCTGCCTTGAGATGGCTCGCAACACCGGTACTTGAATCCTGTTGAGGGAACAGCTGAAAGACTGCAGCTGGTCTGGCTTCAGATGGGAAAGGAAGGAGGCGAGAGCCGGCGTATGAGGCACATTAGCCTGTACCAATATAATGTTTCTCAATCTCGGGAGATACCTCGTGAAGAAATCTGCAGCAGTGGCGTCTAAGCCCTCCATGAAAACTAAGGAGAGGCTTTCTAACTCTTGAAAATAACGTATCGTGGGCAGGACATGCGCCCATTTATCAATCGTCAGACTCTTCAGCATCACACGTATGTCTCTACGTTGAGACATGCGGCAAAGGTCTCTGAGAAGGCGGATAACAATGACTTCGATATTCGGTGTTCGAGCAGTGATTTGGTTTGCCACGACAATGTCCTGTTCGTTTGTGGGGTGGAGGTTCTGATGGCTCGCCTGGTCAAGAGCTGTGATCACAAACTGATGGTGCGGAAAGTCTCTGCAGCTCCTTATGGACAAGAAGTTGAGGAAATCTAGATGGCGGACGTAGTTGACGTATGGCTGTGTAGTCAGAGGGCTCTCGGTATCCGGCGCGGAAGCCCACAAGGTGGTCCAAAGGTTGTCGGTGAGTTGCGTGCTCCAGCTTGTGGAAGGGGAAAACTGCTCACTGTGGGTATGTCAGCATTCATAAAAGAATACATGAAGTATGTTAGTGTGAGTGTTCCATATCCATGGATTATCGGTGACTGACCTGTAAAGACGTCGAAGTGCAAGCCATGATAACTCTCTACTGAGCCGAGCACAACCGGCCAGCGTCCTATGGTATCCCATGATTACAAGCTGATCAAAGATTGCTTCCCAGATGTCGATATGAATGGCTACTGTGATGTGTCTGCGCCTAGCCGGTGGAACCCATCTTGAATCCATGGTTAAGAGGAGGCATGTGGCAAAACTCCTTGGACAGGGCAATATCGAAGGCTACCAGGCAAGAACTCGACGAATATGCAACCTGAAGAGCTCATTTATACTTGGTAGAGTTTTTCTGGCTACATAGTGATTCGGTGATGACGGTAGACAACTCAAGTCACCGCCATTAAGGCTTGTGAGAGTGAATCAGGAGTGTTAAATTCAAGTCGGCGAACGAGGCAAGCGAGAAACTTAATAGCAACATTCAACGTCTGATGTTCAAGAACATGATTCTTGGGATTATATGAATAAAAGCTCATCACACAGCACGGCATATGTCTTTCACTAAACCCCGCTATGCCTGAATATAGGAGTTGGATTGTCGTTGAAGACTGCTATGACTTCGCTGGAGAAGCGAAGGTTATCTTATAGACGGGGAGAACCTAGTCTCAGCTCTGGTATCTTGTGTTTAAATTTGATCTAACAGCTTTTGCGCCCGGCGGCAGACCATAGGCAATACTTACAGTAATAGACATCAGCCTTTACTGCCTACACTTCTAACACATTCTCTAGTTATGTGACATGTCGTTTCTCGGCCTAACTCTAGGATTAATCTCAAGAGTGATGCCCGGGATACGCTGACAGTCCCATCGACATGAATCACTCGTGTATATCGGTTGGATATTTCCCGGGCCGGGGTGACATGGCTCGGGCACATTGAAAGGAACCTCGCTCAGGGCGCTATCTTCCCAAGCGGCTCGGTAGTTGATGCGCTGTAGCTCTCCGAGTATGAGACTGCAAGAAGTGGCAAATAGCAGAAGAGATTTATGATGACAGACCGGGATAAGAAGGACGTAGGTACACATGGTGTCAAGGGCCAGGTCTGGCCCGTACGCTCATCGGGAGCTTGACCAGGGATGGAATCGGAATAGAAAGAGTGGAGAAGGGAAGCAATCCCAACATCGAACTGAATAGGGAGGGTATCAAAGGGTTTATCGACTCCGAGGTATTGGAGATCCCGACAGTCAGTCATTTTTCATTGCAAGCAGTCCGTACGCTTTACGTTTACCTACCCGCCTGAGGTAGTCTACTGACACAAGAGAGCTGCAAGCTGTGTCGCGGTAAAGGTACATGACAGGCCCGGCGGTGAACAAAACTTTTGCCATGCCCAAACAATTTTCGACACAGGAGGTCCGGATTTGGGTGCCGCTGTCGATACCCGGCATTTCATGCTGGTTCCAAGAGTGAGGCGGCAACAGGCGAGACGAAGTGGCACGAGCTCATCCCAGAAACACAAACTGTAAGGCAGGCAACATACGGCATTGATTTTCTGGGGATCGTGGATGAATAGTCAAGGTTACTATTCAACTTCATTCCTTCATGAGCTTCGATGGAAGCTTGGGGTTTGTTGCGGCCTGTGGATCTACAAACTCACCTAACCATGGAAAGGAGACGATCCGAGACACGCCCGCTTCCAGGTTTCATCAATCAACGACATTCCCATTCGTTCCAAACAAAGCGTCCTTTGCCCTTCCTTTCCCATGCATAGTGAGACCAATGGCCATCCAATGTAACCAACGGCCAACGAGCTCATCCTAACCCCGTTTGGAAAGCCTAGCATTAGGGTGATCGAAACACCACCCGTCTCCAACCTATCCCCGCAGGTGGCCCGCCACCCACATGATCGTGTCTCGGCCAACAGCAATAGTTTACAAACCAGCTGACAACCTCGTTGCCCTCTGGTGGGCGGTCACCTCTGTGCTCTTGGGAAAGAGGATAGGTAGAGGTCAGTGAGGCTCAGCCCAGCTCGCCCATCGCCCAATCCGCTAGCTCCAAAGTAATCTGATGTGCGTGAGAGGGGACGACGCTTGTGACCACGGGATGACAAGCGGCGTGATGTCACGGCACATGGCTGCAAGGCTTACACCCAATCATAAAGGATCTTCGATGAACGGAATTCCCCTGCCAGAGGAGGGACCGTGACCCATTACCCAAAGGAGACGTGCCCACTAGGTAGTGTAGAGCTCTCTGCTCCCAAGGTCCCCATTCCATGCGCGATTCGTATCGATAGTGGGCGCTATCTTCTTAGTGTGCTGGGGGCAGCTGCCTGCGCCGTCCGTACCCGCCCCGTACATATCAACCCAGCCGAGAGTCAGTACGCGGGCCCAAACCTCTGCCACCCCAGCTTCACCTGCGACAGCATCTGACGCAGCAGCGAACACATCCACCCGTCTGCGTCAAAACCCAAAGGCCAGACGACCACATCAAAATGGTAACACCAAACTGTCCAACAACATCATCAAGCATTCTGCTCTGTATCGTCTCCGAATCATGGCTAACATCACTGCAAACTCACAGTCCTCCGAGCGGACGCCCCTCATATCCGACCACCGCGAGGGCGAAGCCCGCGACGATGCTGCCGACACCTCCAACCCGCCGCCGGGCGCCTCGCGCCTGCGCGAAATCGTCCTCTTCATCTGGGCCCTCCTGGCTACTGCCGCCGTCATAGTCCTCGCTGTCTGGACCCAGCACCGCAGCCAGACGCACTTCACGCCCCCTCCGACACGAAGCGCAACCTGATCTTCATGGTCTCGGACGGCATGGGGCCTGCCTCGCTCTCCCTCACCCGCAGCTTTCGCCAGCACGTCGAGGGCCTGCCCGAGGGCGATGTCCTCACTCTCGACCGCCACTTCTGGGGCTCCAGCCGCACGCGCTCGTCCAACTCGCTCGTCACCGACAGCGCCGCCGGAGCGACGGCCTTCTCGTGTGGCAAGAAGAGCTACAACGGCGCCATTTCCGTGCTTCCCGACTACGAGCCGTGCGGCACCGTCCTCGAAGCCGCCAAGCGCGCCGGCTTCATGACGGGGTTGGTCGTCACAACCGACATCACCGACGCGACGCCCGCCTGCTTCGCAAGCCACGTTCTTACGCGCGCCATGAACGATGACATTGCCCTGCAGGAGGTCGGCGACGGCCCGCTTGGCAGGGTCGTGGATATCATGCTCGGCGGCGGTCGCTGCCATTTCCTCCCCAACGGCACCGAGGGTAGCTGCAGATTGGACGACACGGATGTGGTTGCCAGGGCGCAGAAGGAGTTCGGCTGGACCTACGCTGGCGACCGCAAGGCATTCGACGCCCTCGAGGGTGGCGAGAAGGTCAACTTCCCGACGTTGGGCCTCTTTGCCTCGGGCGACATCCCCTTCGAAATCGACCGCCGCAACATGAGCGACGTTTACCCCAGTCTGAGCGAGATGGCCGCGACGGCGCTGCGCGCGCTCGAGAAGGCGACGGAGAACAGCGACCAGGGCTTCTTCTTGATGATTGAGGGCAGCAGGATCGATCATGCCGGCCACATCAACGACCCCGCCGCCCAGGTTCGAGAGGTTCTCGAGTACGACAAGGCCTTCAAGCTTGTCTCGGACTTTGTGAAGGACAGCAAGACCGAGTCGCTTTTGGTGGCCACCAGCGACCATGAGACTGGCGGCCTTGCGACCGCCCTGCGTAAGTTTTGACATGCCATTGCATTAGTAGCGACGCACTAATCGATACTATAGAGGAGCCCGGCCACCTGCCAGTCTACAACTGGTACCCCAAGGCGCTCGCAAAGGCCACCGCCTCCGCTGAGCTGCTTTCCAAGAAGTTCGCCCAGCACATCTCTAGCAGCAAGTCCCATAACCAGGACGAGCTCAAGGCCTGGGTCAACAAGAATCTCGTCGTCCCCGGCCTGGGCATCGAAAACGCCCACCCGGAGGAGCTCCAGGCCCTCGTCGACCACCCCGAAGTCTCGGTCCAGACCTTTGCCGCCATGATCAGCCTCCGCGCGCATATCGGCTGGAGCACCCACGGCCACACGGCGCTCGACGTCAACGTCTACAGCACCGGCGGCGAGGAGGCCCAGAAAATCCGCGGCAACATCGAGAACACTGAGGTCGGCAAGTTCCTGCGCGGGTACCTGAACGTCGACGTCGATGCCATCACGGAGGAGCTGAAGGAGAAGATGAACAAGAAGCAGCTGGGCGCCATGAATTTGGACATGCAGCAAATGCCGGGCTTGGCCGCGGACCCTAACGCATGGAGCCAAAGCCAGGAGCACGCCCGCCTCTCGAAGGCTGGCGCGGCCTGATTCTACATTTTTCTTGTTTTCGAGGACGTCTGCCTTGAGTCTTCGATGGGTCTGGGCATAGGCATAGGCATCATAGGAGTTGACTGGCGCATTGGAAGTGTTTTCGTAGCATATGACTGACGTCCCCCTGCCGATCCGCAGATGGCATGATCGACTCATAGCAGCACCCATGTATTTAGAGGCAAAGCAATCGCATCACCCAATCATAGTACCAGATAGTGGAAGCAGTTGTTGGGCGCCATGGTGAATTGTTTGCGAGATCCAGGGCCTCTTCAGGCAACGGAAACGTCCACTTCGACGATTGGGCTCTGGCATCGGACTCGCTGTCATGTTACCGCGAGTGTGGGGTGGCGCGGTCACGCCCTACAAGAGACGGTGAACCAATATGCATCTCTCATGGCTGCCGCAGTGGCGTACCTCCAAGGCTTGAGCTCCCCAACCCTGAGGCTCACATCAAGGCAGCCAACAAAAATAGGGGGGAGATGATCCCTCCCTCCCTCTCTCAATTCCTTTCCGGCGGCGCATCGTCGGGCTCATAGTGCTTGTTGATCCTTTCTCTCCTGAGATTTGTTCCACCATCTCCCCATTCATCCACTCCCAAGCATGTTTGGCAATTGTCTTGGCATTTGCGGCTACGGTCAGCAGTCGAGAAGTCGTTGTTGCATGTCGTCGACGATCCAGTCCTGGTCACGATGAGCCCGCCCGGAAACGCGAAAGACCGGGCGCCGCGGAGGTGGTCTCGCTCGCTTGTATTGGACTCTTTGAGATGTGATGCGTTGTGCTACTGATGCAGCCAGCTTGTGACGACCTGTTCCTGGCCGGCGCCGCCCAACCTCCACCTGCGCCATATTCCAACGGTCAAGAACCGCCAAGTTGCCCCTCGTGTGCCCATGTCCGCGAACATGGGGGTGCTCTAGATGATGTGTGTTTGCTTGGTCAGCCATGTCCAACCGAATGCGAGATGCGCAGACGGTTGGGGCGTGTCACAGGCTGGCGGTAGTCAGGGACGCGAGGAAAAAGGATAGGAGCGTTTTGCGGATCGCCTCCGCTAGGTGGTGCAGGGTTGCATGCCTACAACGTCGTTCCCGAGTCTTCATTGGTACCGAATTCGTACCGAGGAGCCAGAACCAGACGGGAGCCTGATCCCGAAGCCCAATCCTTCGGCCGTAGTGTAGACAAGCTGCCCCGACGTCTCCGCGCGCGTGATGGGAGGGAACTGAGGGTTTACCGGCGGTATGGGAAGCTAGCAGGCACTCGGGTGTGGCACCCTCAATGTCTTACCGAGCGTGCCAAATCAAACGGAACATGGTCTCTCATTTACAATCGGCAAACTGTGACTGGCTGTGGAAGGTTATCCTAGCAGTCCATTATTTCTTTTTCTTTACTGGCGCTACGGCCGTTGTAATCGATAATGGAGCTTCGATCGGACTGTCCGCTGTCCTCTGCAGCGAGCCGGGATTTTCTGCTCCCGTTCGCGGCTGTGCGTGTATCCGATCGAATCCTGCGCGGGATCCAACGAAAAACGATGGGGGAGACGACAAACATGTTGTCGATTTTGGGCTACCCACTCATGGTCAGGAGCCGGCGAGCTATGCTGAATGGATGACTTGCAAATCTCGAGATTGATACTGGTCGTTATGGGCGGATCCTGCAAGTCGGCAGGCAAAGTCGGCGGGAAGGAGGGAAGGAGAGACGTCGACTACTGCTGTTACAGGCAAGAATGGTACGAGATAAGACGACGTGACATCGTACAGTCTAGCCATGCTCTCTTTTCTCCTTCATCCCAACAGTCTGGATGCACCAAGACCAGCGACCAGGGTCGGTAGAGTAGGATCGCGTCGGATTCCGTGCACGAAAATGGCAGCAAACAATGTCGCCGGTAGCCGTTCCCCGGACTGCAAGGCTTCTTCCACAAGAGGTTTCCTTCGACGAATTGTATGTCTCGGCTTGGTTGGGATCAAAGGATCGGCCGAGTGTGTCTTTGTTGGCCAAAAAATGCAATCTCATAGCAAACGAGGCGTCCCAACGTTGCCGCACCGCCGGATGTGATGCAGGTGCCAACGAGCGCCGCGGTTGAGGGTTCGAAAAGGTGTGGTGGTGATGATGGAGGCTGTATGGTATCACTTGCCTAGTCCGAGAAGCGAAATCAGTATGCGAGGTCGGATGAACGCAGCTAACAAGCTTGACAATATTAGGTTTCCGTATGGAACAACAACGCCTGGGGCGAAATGCGCCCATAACCCGAACCGCTTCCCCCCTGTCGAGCATCCGTATAATGGTTCTATATGTTGGTCCGGCCAGACACATTCTGGCGATGAGACAAGGGCTTCCACTCGAGTTCTTCCGAGATGGACGAATAAGGCCAAATGGGAACCCGGGGGAGCGCAGGGGCGGACGCGACTCCGCGGTATTTGTAGAGTAGGGATCATTACCTCGGGGTCAAGGGTTGCGAAACAAAAAAAAACCGGTGGCGCATTCTGCCGACCGGCGCGCATGCCTCGATTGGGAACATTGTTTGCTTGCACCAAGAAGGAAACCAACCGGAGCTTGTCATGGGGGTGTGTGGGATCCGGCCTCACAGTGTGGGTGTTGCGGACGTGCGAAGTTGGATTCCAGCATGGGAGTTGATACTGTGCTTCGGATTCATCTCCGTGTAAGTCGTCGAGAGACAGTGGGATTGGGCGACCAGTACGTTAGGAATTCAACACGTAGATAAGCCAATGGCAAAAGCAGAAAATACATCTTGGGAGGCATTTGTTCAGAGACAGCAACGGATCGCGCGTCAAATGAATGCTGCCTCCTGTTACGTCATGCCCCGGCAAGTGGCTCACGTTCGACTCGAGTCGGGGTTGGAAGGCGCATGCGAAGAAAACATTGTCTAGAGACATGTACAAGGCGTTGCTGCCTTATTGTGCTATGTGTATGATACGCTCGTATGGGCAACGCTGTTCATAACGGATCCTAGCTTCTTTCCACTGAAAAGCATCGTGTCGGAAACGCAAAAGGCCACCCTCCCATGCTATCGCAAGGTTTTCGTATAACGACAATGCCCTCCAAGGCACAAACAAAACCCAGACCAGCGACCAGTGTCGCATCACCGCGCTGGTGGTGTGAGGGGAAAAGAAAAGAAAACAAGGTGAAATTGTCCGAAACGCCCTGGCCGCCGTCCAACGCCCTGTTAACATGACATGTCCTGCCGATCCGATCCCGGCTCGCCTACCAATCCGTAATCACTCCGTGCAAGAAATCGAGTTTCTTGCTTTCGCCTGCTCGTATTGTAACCCATCCTTTCCGTTGATTGTATCGTGTTGAATGCCAATGTCAATGACTTGATCATGTTGCCGATGTTCGACCAAGGCCTAGCCCTGCACATACCCGGCATACTCGTGCTGAACACCCGTATTCGGCCCGTCATCTGAGCCATCGCCCTACATGACCGTAGATGACAGGAGTCGGGCATCGACGTCGTCCATAGGAAGCTCCATACTGCCACGCGCCTCCATGCCCTGTAATCGCGACTCCATGTTTTGGAAGCGCGGTTCGTAGCCCCCAGTGCGGTTCTCAAGGTTCTCTAAGCGCTTGTTCATCGTGTCAAGGTGCTGCTCGATACGCATGAAGCCCTGAGCCATGTCGTGGCTAAGGCGATCGATCTTGTTGGTGAAGGAGCGGATCGACTGGGCGAGAGGGGTGTTTTCCTGGCCAGGAGGCGCGGTCGCGACGCGAGGCTCGTGGTTGTGGCTACCCTCTTGAACAGCAAAACGCCATTGGTTTCCCAGCTGGACCTCACAAACGGCCTTTGCGCGCCACGGACAGTCGACCTTGCGCGTCGAGGGGTTGCGCTTCTTGGCGGTACTGCTGTACTTGACGCCGCCGCGGTCGCACACCAAGTCGTAACGGGTAGGCTTGCCGTCGCGGTAGTTTGAGGCACGGAGCTTGACGACACCATAGCCCTGGTCCTTAGCGACGCGCTGGACAGAAGTCAGAAGGTCCTCGAAGGTCCGGAAGATGCCTTCTGGCGGCGGTAAGAGCGCGGGCGGAGGCGCACTCGACATGACTGCGGAGGAGTCCAGCTTGGCGGTTGTGAAGGGAAAGTGGGGGAAAGGGTGTTGTTGGATGACGGATCCGGGGAAAGCCAGCGGATGCGTTAGAAAAGAAGGAGGACGAAAGGGAGGCGGATTCGAAGTGAAGTAAAAAGTGCGCGCGACAGCTTTTTGTTGGCGATGATTGTGAATGCAGCTTTCCACCAAAAGATTAGGTCAAGAGCTGTTTCGTGACGGAAGGGTGGGAGACACGGAGAGGTTGGAGTCAGAGAATTCCAATCCGCACGGCCTGATCTAGGTTGGCAGTTAATCCGCCCTCCGGCTAACCTTTTTGGCGAGCGTCAGCTTCCGGGATCCAGCTGCCAGCAGGCATCTCACGTACCTATGTACCAGTGTACTTTGAGGTTTGAGGCCGCAGGGAGTGCGAAACAAAGCCGTCTTGCTAAGATTGGGGGTGGAATTGGATCGAACGGAAGAACGGAATCTCTGAAAGTGAAGGAAGGCCTTTTTTATTTGTTACCCGCCAGTAAATACTCTCTTTCCTTCCAAGATTGCCTGCCAGAACCAACCTGGACGATTTGCGCCAGCGCCTCCGACATCCGAATTTACAGTAGACCTCACGTGACTTGGCAAGAGGTAAGAGGCAGTACGTACTGATCTCGCGGGAAAGAGTGGGGTATTGAAAGGATAACGCACCAACCACCGTGACGTTCTGCTGGGAGCTCTGCTGGGAGCCGATCGTGGCCCCTCCCTGCCAGCCTAGACGGATAATGCACCTGATGTGCTGCCATCTCCAGGTCGGAATCGCGTTGACGACACAATCCACCACAGTACAGTTCATTCGGTCTGCTACCGTGCCCTTCCTTGGACCCCATTCAGCAGTCTGGACGACAGCGGCACGTTTGCCCTTCGGACTTGGGCTTTGAGGCGCTTCGCAAACATTCAACGTACCGTTTCTGGATATATTTGGGGTTGATATTGCACATTGCGCCTCAAGCTCGCTGTGTCCACCCATCCCAGTACCGCGCCGGTGTGGTCTCGGAGCGACACCTCGGACCGTAACCTTGGTGTCCTCGATATCCAACCCGACTACACCGCTTTGCTTACTGGCTAGCCAGGAACTCGACCATTGCCTCCTTCTCTTTCTTTCGCGCCATGATCCGGTAGACCCTCGTTTGCCCGCGACCAACTTGCATCATCATGGCAAACAACGGCCCGACTATCAAGACAGAGCCTGGCGCCGAAGAAAACGAGGCATGGGATGAGGAGCGTCTAGAACTGGCTATGGACCAGCTCAAGCTCTTGCACATCAAAGTTTGTTATCCCGTACGGCGAAGACTGGCAGGACCCGGAACTGACCTTTTCAAAGCTACGAGGTTTGCGCACGACGATCCCTAGAATGATGGAACCACTATCGGCCAAGCAACCAACCCGTACGTTTTTGACGCTTGCCACATCCGACTTCCACTGACCTAATTCTGCCAGCCCAAGCCACGTTCAACTCCTTCATAGACTCGGTGGCCGCGGCTAAGAAGGAGGTTCAAGACTTCCAGGACTTTCGAAAGAGCGACGAGATAACCAAGATCATGGACCACGCCGCCAAACGCCGGAAAGAAGAGCCCAACGGTATCAAAGCTTGGAGAACAACAGATCATCCCGACTGGACGACGACGACGACGACGACGACGACAGACTCGTAGCGCTGGCATATTTATGTGTGAACGATACAGTAGATGCGGCGTTGGGCGACTGGCATGGGGAGTAGGCAATCATCGTTTGGGTTCGGCTTCGGAGTAATAGGGATAACTAGACAAAGGTTTTAGATACGGTCGTTGCGTACAAACCTACAGGCCGCTTCAAGAGGCGAAAAGCAATTTTAAGAGTTTTTTTGGAGCAGCAATCGGTTTACGATACAAAAAGTAGACTGTGTCAACTGCACAAATCAGAGGTGTTTTAGACGTTCAGTTTAGGTCCAGTTGAGCTGGCCAAACCAATCGCCCCTCCGTGAGCTGGCTCTCCTGTGCGAGCCACTCTCTAGGAATCTCGGAGCCAATTGACTGGCTTCACCGACCATTCACGGTTGGGCCAAATGCTGAAAAGTGTTAGCGCGCCTTGCACGTGAACTGGGCTCGCTCCGGGGCTTTTCAGCCAGCCTTAGCCACCTGTGGCTGGACCCCTCCGCCCCCACCTCATTGGTCGCCTAAGCGGGCTCTAACTTGTCTTTCCACCCACACAAAATTTCCAGAAACCTCGAAAATCCGCTCGCGATCCTCGACTTCCAACTAACCAACCCGCAGCCCGCAGCAAATCAGTCAAAATGGCCGGAAACCGTGTCACGTACCGCCGCCGCAACGGGTGAGTGACTACTCCTGGTGTTCCTTCTTGCGATCGATTTAACGAACGACGACGTTTCCCCCTGCGCGATTGATCGCATACTTGTGCGTCTTGGAGGACTGCAAATGGCTGACTTGGGAATTTTTTCTACTGCAGCTACAACACCAGCTCTAACCTGACCCGGATCGTCAAGACCCCCGGTGGTGAGCTGAGAATCCTCCACATCAAGAAGCGCGGCACTGCCCCCAAGTGCGGTGACTGCGGTGTCAAGCTCCCCGGCGTAAGTTCGAACCCAACACCCAATACCGAAGCCGAAGCGACCGATTCGAGGAGCCATTTGAGAGAGAGCATTGGGACTTTGGGGACGTCAGCCGGGCACGAGGGCGCCTACGACCACGACGACCTGTGTGAAGCCAGTCGCTGGCTGTGTGAAGGAAGCATCACATTTGGAACCAGCGCTCTCAGATGGCTACGACGAATACCGCTCTCGAACGGCTCAGCGCAATCCTGTCAATATACTGACATGAACACCTCTTAGGTCCCCGCCCTCCGCCCCCGCGAGTACTCCCAGATCTCCAAGCCCAAGAAGACCGTCCAGCGTGCGTACGGTGGCTCGAGATGCGGTAACTGCGTCCGTGACCGCATCGTCCGCGCTTTCCTCATTGAGGAGCAGAAGATCGTCAAGAAGGTGCTGAAGGAGCAGAGCCAGAGCGAGAAGAAGAAATAAACCCGGACACGTCTCTTCTTGGTCAACGTCAACACAACACTGGCAGGAATGGGAATTAAGGGGTTGGTTCATTGCTTCGGTGTTCATTAGGGCAAAAGGAACTGCATGATACAAAGAAATCGTCAGGCCACAGGCGGAGTGAAAACGGATTCTTCTGCCGATGCTGTCGTTAGGGCACTCTCTAGGCCTCGATACCTGAATGAAAACGGAAATCGAGCCCTTCAACACAACATCAGCTCCTGTTCGGTTCATGTTGGGATTTCTATTTAGTCGTTCTGTGACGAGATGACGACCCCGCGGTGTCTAGGTCATGGCGCCCAAAAGTGGTTTACTCCCAAGATCCCGGATTATGACAGCGAATTGAACTTTTCTCGCTTTTGCTATATGGACTCCTCGTATCTGAGCGGGAATGTTTTGTAACCCTTCGTGATGGTGTTGTGTACTGGTTTCCCTTCCATCGCCGCTCGTGGACGTTCGAGCACCGCAAACCCTGTAATCATGACGTTCAAGATACTGAGATAGCGCTCCCAGAAAAAAAAGTCGCGGAGCTGCACTCAACTCTTCCCAAGCACCAACCAATCCACGAAACAATACTCTTTTAACATCGCACACCTAGGCCCGAACCCAACTACTTGTCTATTGAAAAGACGTACGGTCGGATCGATGCACTCCTCAACGAGCACCCGCGCACTCCGCGCATTCGCGCGCGCCCAGCGCATTCTTCCTCGAGCCGCCCCTCGAGCCTCTCAGCTGCCGTTCCAATCGTCGACAGCTCCTACGCAGCTCGGCTGCCTCCGCAATCAATTCCACACCTCCTCCTTGAGGTCAAGAGAAAAACCCAAGGACTACCAAGGCGCGACCGACTTTGGCGAGATGGACGTCCTGGGCAACACGCCGATCCCCTCGACCTCAATCGACGCCTGCGTCCCGGACGGTTTCCACCTGAACAGCGGCGTCAAGATCATGGACGGCGACGCGGCGCTGCTCATCGGAGGCGAGGCGTTCGCGTGGCGGCCGTGGGAGGCGAAGGGGTCCAAGAAGCTGATCAATGCCAAGGGCCAGTTCGAGCTGCCGGCGGAAGCATTCGGGCTGCTGGGGCTGGTCTGGCCAAGACCTGGTAGGTTTTCTTCCGGTACATGCTGGCGTTAGAACATGGGCAATTAGCTAACAATATTCTCCGCAGATCTCCTCATCATCGGTGTCGGCCCCAAGATTGTACCACTCAGCCCGGCGACGAGGAAGCATCTAAGCTCGCTCGGCATCCGCGTCGAGATTCTGGATACGAGGAACGCTGCCTCGCAGTTCAACCTGCTTGCTACGGAGCGAGGTGTGGACGATGTCGCGGGTGCCCTGATTCCTATCGGGTGGGTTGATGGCAAGGGAGCTATGTGAGGTGACTGCAGAATGACTCACGGCCAGCTGGATATATATCACTGGTTGAAGATTGGTAGTCCTGGGACTACCCGATACTTGGGCCGGTGCGAGGGGTTTACACTGCAGCTTCACAATGATTCATGGGACGGAACAAGGTCTGGTGCTCCTGCCAAATCTCCAAGACTCGGTCAATTCGCCTTGAGCTTGGGCTGAATGATGTTCTGAAATTTCGCACGAGCCGTTGCCGAAGTCCCACTAGTAAGAGAGCGTGGCATGGAGAAGCAAAGCTGTACGATGGATATGTTGAGCTGCACGCCTGCTTTCAGCCAATGCGACCTTTTGGCCAGCACTAGAACCTCAACGTACAAAATACCTCTTGGTGACAGAGGACTAAATGTAATAGTAGAAACGAGTGTTTACCTAAATCTCATGTACAAAATACCCAGTATTCATCTTGATACGATACGTAATCAGCCTTGCAGGACCCTAGACCCATGATTCGCAGAGCGTTGCAATTGGCCAAAAAATCCAGAGACAGGGAAACCAATGGCAATGTTTTGCCAGCCCCAGGTGGAGGAGGAATGACGAACTGTTGGCTGAGATTGAGTAGTGACATAAATTGCCAAAAAGGCAAAGTTTGGTCCTCTCTCCGTGCCCGCTACGACTGGACCTGGCTTGCTTGTGAGGCTCATTTACTTACCTCGGTGGGCGGTCACACACTATATTTTCCCTCCACTCATCCTTTCTCACTCACTCTTGCCATCGACCCAGTCACCAGTGAGCAGCTCTTGCGCCTTAGGAACGGTCTGTCCCGACCACGTTCTCGCCCACCACCGTCTCAGTCGACCTCAACGACGACGCCTGCCCCGGTTCTGTCCCTAAGAAAGGAAAAGGCACCGCTTTTGTTTTCCCCTGCCGTGCTCTGGGCCTTGCGCCCAGCAGCTCCAGGTGCGACAGACACTCAAAGTCGAGGAAGGAACGCTTTCTATCTTCAACCACTGATTGACTCACATTCCGCCCAGCGTCACCGACTACGCCGCTGCCAAACCTTGTCCCTTCTTTTGTTTACTCTGTCCAAACACGGTTTCTGCACAGATCGTCGCTTTTCCACGGCCGCGCCCGACATCACCGGAAGACCATCAGTTTTCACTTTATTTATTTATTTTGTTTTTCTTGTCGCGCACTATTTCCAGAGATACCCGCGCATTGCCTGGTCTTCCTTGGTCATCACTCACGCTCCCATCTTACGTCGGTTGGGTTTACTGTTGCATTCGCTACCCTTGCGGTGCGAGAGCCAGGTCGCGTCCGGATCCCGGCACAACGCAAATTCCTCCACTTTCAGCATGACAGATCAACAACAGGCTGAGGCACGGCTGAGCTCCGCCAACCCTCATGACCCTGAAGCTACCGATCCGACGTTACTGAGGGAGAACTCGGAGATCCGTGAATACAAGACGGGCCGCTACACCTATTCCGGCCTCAGAATATTCTACAAGCGGCACCTCCAAGCAGACCAGCTGCCCAAACCGCCTCTTCCTCTGCTGGTCTTTATCCATGGGCTCGGGGGTTCTGTGGCCCAGTTTCATCCACTGTTGACGAGCCTTGTTCATATATCGTCATGCTTGGCCATTGACCTGCCCGGATGTGGCCGCTCCGAGTTTACCGAGCAGGCATGGGATGCCTACACCCCGGAAGCGCTAGGAGAGTTGCTTGAGGTCATCATCGATGAGTACCGTCAGAGAGAGCCTGACCGCAGCGTTGTCCTCATTGGCCATAGTATGGGAACGGCCATGTGCGCACGACTGGCGAGCCGCAACGTTCCGCAGAAGACGAAGCTGCGGAAGCATGTTGTTGGGCTGGTTGCCATCTGTCCCGTAGCTGGGCCACCAGTGGAAAAGAAAACGAAGATATTCCGCACGCTGCTGTGGATTCCAGGCTGGCTCTTCGACTTGTGGAGGGCGTACGATCGATGGGGAGGCCCGCAAAGCGCCAGCGTCAGTCGATTTGTAGGTCCTGAGGCCGACCTCGAGCTTCGTAAGCTCCAGGACCGTTTCAACACCCAGAGTCGGACCCCTGTATGGCGCAGGATGGCCTGGGGTTCACTTCCGACTTTTGAAGACGGAGTTGCGAAAGGTGGCATCTCCGGCAAGGACGTGTGGGCTGGTCTCGATGTTCCGGTCTACTTGGTCGGCGGCGCCGAGGACACGATAACGCCCCCAAGCGAGGTGGACAAGATCAAGGAGTACCTGTCCGGAAAGGCTCCTTCGTCACCAGAAACTGGGTCTGACGATGGACACGAGACGATCGTTGACGCTGCGGCACCGGTCAATACGTCGAAGAACCCGAAGGACCATGGACCCGAGAGTATAGATGACATTCGGGATGAGGATTTCCAACGCGGTCGTCGACCAAGCGATGAGACAGACAATGCTCTCGAGGATCCATCCACGCCACAAGAATCACCAGCAAACGTCCCGCCTCAACCCCGGCACCCTACCAAAGTTGTCAAGTCAATCATCATGCCTGCGCCAGCTAACCATGCTCTGCTGTTTAACCCCGCCACTGTCAGGGTTCTCGCCGGTCTGGTCTCCGACTTTCTCGCCAACCATGTCACCGGCCGTTTTTCTCTTGGCTGGCAGTTGCAGTACCTCTCGCGTGAGGGCAAGTGGGATGTGAAGAACTTGGCCAAGTGGAAGGGAGTGGTTCCTGTGTCTGACCCTATTGGTCCAAAGGGCAAGCCGGCAGTCTTCAGAGCGATGAAGACTTTGCGAGAAGCAGATGACACGCACTGCCCCGCCGAGTTTGTCAAGAACTGGGGAGCCATCATCAAGGATGTCATCGACATCAGCCACGACAAGCCAGTATATGACCCACGGAGTATGGAAAAGGGAGGTGTACGGTATCACAAGTACGCAACGGTATCCAAGATTCCTCCCAAGGATGACGAAGTCGCCCATTTCATTTCACTGGTGGACAAGCTGCGAGAAGAGCAGAAGAAGAGAGCAGAGCAGGAGAAGTGGACGGAGGTGAACGGCCAGACGCAGGTGATTGGCGTTCATTGTCACTATGGCTTCAACCGGACTGGGTACTTTATCGTTTGCTATTTGGTTGAACGGTGCGGGATGAATGTGAGCGAGGCCATTGACACCTTCAAAGCGGCAAGGCCTAATGGGATACGCCACTACCACTTCAGGGACCGGTTGCATATGCGATACTCGGGCTTAAAGCTGGAAGAAGACCAGCAGGAGAGCCAGTAGTTAGAGGAACACTAAAAGCAGCAGACTGGGCTATGAGGTTTGCTGTTCAGCGATGAACACAAAGGGTCTTATGAGTTTAGGTTCAAAGGGTGGCCAATATCCAGCATAACTGATTAATGATAAATATCCTTACCCAGCTTCGTAGCTAGGAGGAGAATGCATTTACATGGTTCAACCTTGTTTTCTTCTTATTCAAGTGGGATGTTGTGCATGCAATTTTTGGGTGGCATCTGGTGATCTTTCTCTGCGCCATGATTACCTAGATCTGGTTTGCCAAGTTTACCCTGCTAGAAACGCTCATGGAAGATGGCTCACTACAAGTAGACATCACGGCCACAAGGAAGTGATCGAGGAGTTGGGCTCCATTTGCGGACCTCTTTGCACGCTGAGAGCAGTCCGATCCCAACCCATTCTTGCTTTTCAACCGCCATTTTCTTCCTGGTCGTAAGGATTCATGTCTTGCCTTGCTTTCTTGTCAACTTGGCTCTTCGTGTCTCTTTGTATCAACAAGTCCTCGTCTCACCTTGCCATCCAAGCGAAGGTTCCACGCCCAACCACACTTCCGTAACAGGGACCGCAAGTCGGTTAGCTCAGGAACTGGCTGGCTCATCGGGACTCCTTAATAAAAACAACGACGCAAAAAAAGCAATCTTCGGCCCACATCCAGCCGCAGCAACGTTGGGAACGGCAAAAGGAAGATGATCAGTGTGAGGCTTGAACTCACGGCCTTGGCATTACTCAACATATCTGATGATATATTAGTACCACGCTCTAACCAACTGAGCTAACCGACCAATCCGAGCAGGATTGTTGTGATGTTGTTGTGTGGGTGCGAGGCAGGAGAGCCCTAAGACAGGCCCACGATGATGGGGTTCGTGGTGGATGGGGCGGGAGGGTCCTGGAGGGGCGTCCGAATGAACAGCGAGGATGCCGGTGGGACTGGGTTCCGCGGCCGCGACTCGGGAACGGCACACTTCCGAAAGTTGTAGTTGACTATGGGAATTCTTCTTCCCATGCTAGTTGATATCCCTCCTAGCCGCGGATGGAGGGGGGCAACGCTGTTTCGCATAGACCTATGGCCCACGATATGAAGCCATAGAGTCGTCATGTGAAGCTGAAGAGAGGCCCCTTGAGCACTCGATTCTGCCCTCTTCTTCAGCGTTGTTGTACTGAGAGTCCATGACTAACACGTCGAGTTCTGAGAGAGCAAGTCTGTGCTTGAGATTGCCAGGTGAAGCACACGTAACGTAATATGGCAATAAAACTAAGGCGAGTAAATACCAATAGTCATATACATGGTTACAAAGTACAGCACCTGGAGGCTTTTACCGGCTTTGGGCTTGCAGCAAAGCTCCAGGTCCCATCGATGGATATCGCAGAAATTGTTCTCATGAATTACCTCACTCAGGAATCGAAGCTGGTTAGGTTTTCCCTCTTGATCTAGGTTTATGATCCGTCACTTCCGCATCTTGAATGTCAACTACGGACTGCACATCCCTCTTCTCTACCCAGATTCAAATTTCAAGCTTTAAGATCCAATACGTAAACCCAAGCATCGCAACATCTCGAGCTATTATCTTGGAGGCGCTGAGCTGGCTTCCGTTGGGGGTAGAAAAGGAAAGGTCAACAGAATAAGTCCCGGAACGATTGCTCTCCGCCGTTCGTCAGGACGAAAGCTGCGGCGAGAAGAGAGAATTCCAGTAAAACTTCAAGGTCTTGGGCCTATACTTCGGGAGAGTGAACACTGCAGTCCCGTCCACTTCTTTTCCGAACCCAGTCTTGCCAAAGGTCTTTGGTACAAGAGCTTTTGTTGATCATGTGTGAGGTCGCCATCAACACAATTCAGTAAGACTGTTAGATGGAACAATCAATAATCAGCTAAAAGCATCAGACTGGCTCGGCGAGTGCTGGGCGGCTACAAGACGAGATAATCTTCTCTGTAGAACAGAACATTGAGTTGTTCGTTTGGGAAACATTCAGCAACTCAAGTCCAGTTCTTCAGACTCAAGAAGTAGAGGAAACGTGGCCTACGACTCTTCTCGTTGTATCGGCGGAGATGTGAGTGACGGACACAACTCCTGTTCTGGAGTTCAACTGCACGATCCATTGGACTCACCCCTTTCGCACTTCACAATGAACCCTTACTGCTGCCTCTGCATGCAATACGTTACGACAACCCCATGGTCCTTGGGTTACAGTGTCCAAATGGCTCTGACGACTTGAAGCTGCTACCATCCTGTTCGGCGGAGGAAACCCGTTCTGTGCCCCCATGTTGCAGCAAACATCAGCCTGTGTGAAGGGCTCCGTTGCATTATCGAGGAAAAGAAAAGAAATGATGTTGCTTCGATTCTCTGCAGCGTCTCCGCAGGACATGTAAATCAAAAACGGACTCCTCGGCTTTGGAGACACATTTTACTTGCTGCTTCCAACAGCCTCGGAACCTATCCAGCGTTTGTTTCCCTTCTCGGGTTGCACACAGTTTTCTAAGTCGATGCACATCGAGTGCGGCTCTTCAGTTTGAGTATATTGAATTTCACACTCGATCTAGCTGGGAAACATGTGCCATGTTCTGTATACTCATGGCATGAAAAACTCCATACTATCCTCTATCAACAATTGGATGTCGTTGAATGATCGGCGCAAGCGCCGAAGCCGGCTGCTTTCATCGCGGTGGCTTCACACCAAGACACACTGACAAACAGACTCCTGGACGTTGGCACAAGAGACGGACGACACGACGGACTTGATGGGCTCGACAGACTGGCTCTTGTCAAGACAGTAGACCGCGCCACGCCCTCGCGCTCGTCGAACCCTTCGAATTCCTGCGACGGCGCGCCGTTGAAGGAAGGGCTCGGGCAAGCGACGAGATCAGACAAAGATCGTTCCGCCTTTCGCTCTTCTTCCTGCTTCTCGTCGTTCTCTAGCCTCGCTACGGACGTCTGCCGCGTCAACTCTTGGCATTATAGAACGCTGGGGATTGACTTCAACCGTACATGATATTCCCACCTGCATGCACCGACTCCGGCATCACTTGATCTGTCGACTTTCCCTCTGCTGCCCGCCCAGCCTCCTCGTGACCAGCGCCGTGTTTCCCAAATAGCAGAGAGCACAGCATGCAAAGCATCGGGTAGAGGACGCGGCGGCGGCCGGGATACATCCCAGCCAGCAGCCCACGACATCAGCCTTTGGTCAACACTCATGCCTCGTGATGTGCTTTGACCGTCGTCTACTGCTTCCTTGCCTTCTGCAGCACTCCGCGTTCTGCACTCTGCGCTGCACTGCTGTGCTGGCAACGGCAACGATAACCGCCAGAGATGAGGATCGGATGGCTAGACAGACTCTCCTCGACTGCACAGCGCGGACGCCCGCTCCCCTCAGACACCAGACGCGACGGCGCAGCCGTCATGCAGCAACAACAGCAACATCACGCACGAGCATTCCTTCCTTCGCGCGGCCATCAGTCACCAGCCCGAAGTTCGTCTGACAACTCAGGCCGCAGTATTAGCCTGCTGCTGTTCTTCTTGCTCCCGTCCTACCCGCCGCTGCTTGTCAAGCGGTCCATCGTCGGGCGGCCGGGCACATGCCTCTCTCCCCTCCCTCTGCTCCATCTCTGGGAGGGTGGCTGGCGCAGGCTACGTGTGCTGTCCTGCGCGCACGCACGCCGCACATACATACTCGCACGCGCCGAGCAGCGACCCTCTCCTGATGAGAGTCCGTGATGCAGTATGTGTGAATCTGGCAGCCTTCTCTTCCAACTCTTCACACCCCCTTCCCGTCCTCACCCCGTCTCCCCCTCTCTCCCTTTCTCCTTCCGCGCCCTAGCCAAGACCAGATGGCAAGCCTGCAGGAGGAGTCAAAGAGCCGGCAGAAAAGAAGGGGGTCAAGACCGGAAGGCGGGAGGAAGGTTGGGTGATTTGGAACGGGCGACGGACGGATGGTTGGCGCTCTCTGACACCCAGCTCCCATATGCGCCTTCTTCGTCGTCGTCGTGTCATTCCTAGCCGCAGTACGTCGCGCATCGTGTACCGTGTCGCGAGATTCGCGACACTTTTGCCTTTCCCTCTAGTCCCCATCCTCATCCCGTCATCCTAGCCTCCCCACCCCTTCCTGCCTGGCTGATCATCGCTCTCTCCTTGTTTCTCTCTCCTCCGCCAGTCTTACCGCATGGCGCCGGTCGATTTCCTGTCCTTTTTCTCTCTCGTTTCTGGCCGTGTCCTCGCCAACAGCACCACCCCCCCGGTGCTGACTGGGGCTAAGTGAAATTCCCACATCCGAGAGAACACACACAAGCCCTGCAAGAGAGTCCCCTCCGACGACGCCGTCGCGGAATAAGGGCGACCACTAGGAGATCTTGCGCCATTTTCCTAACGAACAAGGAAGAAGCAAAAGGAGAAACGGCGCTACGATCGTCCGCTAGACACGTCCCCATCAGCACACTAGAGACGGATAAGCCAGAGAACAAGGCCGGAAAGCACTGGCGCTCGCCATTACCTGCGTGTGCGCGTGGGAAGAAACCAGACCAAAACCTTGCGGGTAGCAGCAAAGCATCGGCACCAACGCCAACACCAACGCCAACACCACAAGCACCGGCTGACGGCGTGTGAGCGTTGGGCGGATGGGGAGACGGAAGAGAGCAAAGGAAAGGTGGACGAAACAAGACCTAAAAGAGACAGGACAAAGTGCATGATGTGAGCACGTACTGGACAGCCCCGTTCCGTTCGGCTGTCGTCCTCTGACTCCCGTCACACGGAGCTGACTCCGGAGGTCGGCCCCAACAGCGTCATCAATGAACGACGAGCGAGCGACCAGCTGACTGGCCGAGTGAGCGGGAGAGGCGGGAAAAGGAACAATGCTAGGAGTCCAAACAGCTTGACACTGCCTCCCCCCTGGAAGAAGCATCAAGCAAACCAGGAGGCGTACCCTAACGTTCGCCGAGCGCAAAGTTGCCCAGTGCTTGTCTCCCCTCCTCTCAATGGACCCCCGGCTCCCTTGACTGGTGA